ATAATTTTTCTTAATTCTTAATGTTAAAAATTTTATTGTTTAAATATTATATTTTGAAATCGAAAATATTGTCTCCATGTTGTATTATTACTTCAGAGGAATATGAGACGTCTTTGAGTTGATAAGTAGAATGGTTTACTACAAAAAAAATTATGATTATCTATACTCTAAAATTATTGAACAGGTAAATAATCTTAAATTCAGATTAATTATATATTTAGTTATATTTATATCTCCTATTTATAGAGCGATAATTTTAGAAATGGAACCACATCAAATTTGTAAGATTGAAGAAAAGGAATATGATAAGAAAGAATAAATTTGTGAATATTGAAGATGAAATACATTTTATAGTGGAATGTTAAAATATAGGAATTAATTCGTTATTAAATAGCTTTCAGGTATAACATGAAGAAAAAAAATTAATTAATATTTACTCTTCTCTATTAAATTTTTCTATGGGGAAGGATTATATAAGGAATAAGAAAATATTGAAATAAAATAAGAGATTGGATGTAGCTAATTTGACATGAAAAATGTATATTTATAGATTAAAAAATTTTTATATTAATAAAAAAGGTATAATAGTAATTATTTTTATCTTCAATTTTTTTTAAATCCAAAAATGCAAATTTTGTATTGATTTCTTAGAAAGCTATAAACAACAATTAAAATCAACTTCAGATCTTGAAATTTTTCAGTCTATATTTGCATAATAACATAAAATACTTGTATTATCCGCGTATAAAGACTAAAAAAAGTAATAGAAATTAAATAATTAAAAAAAAATGAATTACACAAATGAATAATAAGGAGATCTAGATAAAGTTTTTGCAGAAGCTAAAGATGTTGATGAATATATCTTCGATGTGATAATTGAGATTTTTCGAAAAAATAAGATTTCAGATAGTTTAGGTTATCTATTTATGTATGAGAATCAAAAGAATTAGGAATAATTTATGTTACAAGTAGAGAACCTATCATTTTTTGATAAGTAAAAGAAGCTTAATTTTAAAAGTAATCATGTGAAAATAATCACAAATATTCTCAAATAAATTAAAGATCATGACTTTAATAAAAATAATTATTCTTCTAAGGAATATTAAGAAATTAAATAAGATATAATAGAAAAAATTGCTAAGAATAAGAATGACATTTTATTATTAAAATTTTTAGTTTCCCTCACAGCTATTGATAGCCAATTCATAGTATGCGGATCAAATTCATTTCACTTATTAGTTAAGATGAAGATTGATCTTAGCAACCAATTTTTTCAAGATATTAAAATATAGAATACTTCCATAATGAGAGCAAATTTAGTCAGATGCAATTTGAGTGGTTCCATGTTTGAGAATGTAAATATAAGTGGGATAAATTTGAATGGATCATAATTATTTAATTGTAAATGGAAGAATATTTAAATACAAGAGTTGAATAAATTAGAAGGTCATAGTAAGGCTGTGCGATCAATTAGTTTCTCTCCTGATGGTACTACATTAGCATCTGGTAGTGAAGATAAGTCTATCCAATTGTGGGATGTTAGGACAGGATAATTAAAAGCCAAATTTGATGGTCATAATAAATGGGTATCATCAGTTTGCTTCTCTTCTGATGGAGCTACATTAGCTTCTGGTAGCTGGGATAATTCTATCTATTTATGGGATATTAAGACTAGATAGAAAAAAGCTAAATTGAATGGTCATACTCATTATGTCTAATCAATATGTTTCTCTTCTGATGGTTCTACTTTAGCATCTGGTAGTTGGGATAACTCAATACTTTTTTGGGATGTAAAGACAAAAAAAATAAAAGCTAAATTGGATGGTCAAACTCATTATATCCAATCAATATGCTTCTCTCCTGATAGTAGTACATTAGCCTCTACTAGTAGAGATGACTATATATGTTTATGGAATGTTAATACAAGATAATAAAAAGCCAGATTGTATGGTCACACTAAAGGAATCCTAAAAGTTTGTTTTTCCAATGATGGTACTACATTAGCATCGGGTAGTTCCGATTGCTCTATTCGTTTATGGGATGTAAATACAGGATTATAGAAATTATAATTGGATGGTCATTAAAATTCAGTAATTTCAGTTTGCTTCACTTTTGATGGTACTACATTAGCATCCAGTAGTTTAGATTTCTCTATTCATTTATGGGATGTAAATACAGGATAATAAAAATGCAAATTAGATGGTCATACTAGTTATGTATTAGCCCTATGCTTCTCTCCTGATGGTAGTATATTAGCATCTGGTAGTGCAGATAACTCCATCAATTTATGGGATACTAGGATTTGTTATTCAAAAAACAATTTGGATGGTCATTCTGATCAAGTTTAGTCAGTATGTTTCTCTCCTAATGGCACTATATTAGCATCTGGAAGTACAGATTAATCAATCAGTTTATGGGATATTAAGACAGGATAATAAAAAGCTAAATTGGATGGTCATAGCAACACAGTTTAGTCAGTATGTTTCTCTCCTGACAGTACTTTATTAGCATCTGGTAGTGCAGATAACTCTATACGTTTATGGGATGTTAAAATCGGATAATACAAATCTAAATTGGATGGCCATAGTAATACAGTCTATTCAGTATGTTTCTCTCCTGATAGTACTTTATTAGCATCTGGTAGTGCAGATAACTCTATCTGTTTATGGGATGTTAAGACAGAATAATAACAAGCTAAATTGGAGTGTCATAATAGCAATACAGTGTATTCAGTATGTTTTTCTCCTGACAGTACTATATTAGCATCTGGTAGTGAAAATAACTCTATTAGTTTATGGGATCTTAAGACAGGATAATAAAAAACAATTTTGGAGGGTCATAACAATAAAGTTTATTCAGTATGTTTCTCTCCTGACGGTACTACATTAGCATCTGGTAGTGTAGATAACTATATTATTTTATGGGATATTAAGAAAGGATAATAAAAAGCCAAATTAGATGATCATAGTAATATTGTCTATTCAGTAATTTTCTCTCCTGACAGTACTACATTAGTATCTGGAAGTGCAGATAATTCTATCCGTTTATGGAATATTAAGACTGGATAATAAAAAGCGAAATTGGATGGTCATTGCAATACAGTCTACTCAGTATCCTACTCTTCTGATGGTATTACATTAGCATCTGGTAGTGCAGATATGTCTATTCGTATATGGGATGTTAAAAAGGTAAAGTAAATTGAATCTGTGGATGAATGTTAAAAAGATATTTTAACATAATTTAAAACTCCTTTATCTTAAATCTATCCTCTTCCAAAAATTGGTACAAATATATATATTATCTAGTTAGTACTAATATAACAATACTTCGTATATCTTAAACACCCTTATTTTAAGCATAAGATGCAATAATTTAATAGGGAGAATTTCTTAATTACTAAGGCCGAGATATAAGATCACTATTTAAATCTAAAGGAAGTTTCTTTATGGAAAGTTAATTGCAATTATCAGAAAATGGAGAAAAAAAAAGTTAAATAGAATAATCGTAAAAAAGAAATGATAATTTTACAATATCATGACATAAAATTTATAATTTATTATTAATTAGGATGAACTATAAATTAATGTCTTCATGAATCTAAATGATCATACAAATTGAGCTTAAATTAAAAAATATTAGATTAGTTATTACAAATTACATGCAAAAATTATTTTTTTTATTATTGAAAGTAATTTTAAACTAATTTAAAACATATATCTTAAAATCTCTTTAAAAGGTATAGATAAATTATACAAATCAGAAATATGAGTTTTTTAGAGAATCATTAATTAAAATCATCTTTTAGATAACATAAATTAAGATCTTTATTTTGTTAATAAGGATAAATAACTACAAATTAGATAATAATTTAAAGAAAATTAATTTCAATTAGATCAATCTCTAGAAAGCTGATTAGTGAATTATGCAACTTGATGATCCATACTGAACAAAATCTTTAAATAAATTGAGCAAAAGTTTAAAAATGATGTAAAAGTTAAGTCAAAAGATTCTCAGCGTTAAACAAGAATGTTGATGCAACATTAAAATTTATAAATGTGCAAGAGTTATAAGAAATTTTACTTTTGATCTCTTTTTTAAATGAGATATTTCTTTCATTTTTTATAAATTAGAATTGTTTCATAGGTTCTATGTTTACTGAAAACTCAATTTCATAATCGTTGTTCTGTTGATAAGAAATAAGAGAATTAATTTGTATCATATATATTTTTTTTATTTAGAAGGACAGATTATAAAATTATATCATTGAAATAAAGTTTGCCATAATTTTATCTTTTAATCTTATCATTATTGATTTAAATATTGGACTTTTAATATTATGTGAAAAAAATAATGTTATATAAATATGAAAGATTGTTTATGAATCTCATGTATACATTTTGGTTAAATTTTCTTATTATCTATAAATTGGTAATTATTATAATTTTTTTATAAAATAAAATCTTGAATTTAATTAAATTTAATTTAAGAAGGAAAAATAATACTGAGTATTATTATTAATCTTGTACATTTCTCAACGAAATTTAGAAATCCTAAAATTTTACTATTCAAATTCATTTTTAAATATTATTGTATTTTTTAAGATTTTAAGTTTAGTTCTCATGGGATCTTGGTTATTAATCTATTGTTTCATTAAAATTCATAGATTTATGAATTAATGGTATATTTGATACTTTTTTCATTGTTATTCCACTATATCGGAATATTAAATATTTATGAATATTAATTAGAATGGAAAAACATAATTATAATGAATTAAATTTATATCAAAGTAATTTAAAATTAAATATTAATTTGACAATTCATCATAATTAATATTATATTTGGAACTAGAAGAGAAAATGGCTAATATTTGATAATTTATGAAATTAACTACCAAATTGAAATCAGACAAAAATCAAATAAAATTCACATTGCATCCACATTTAAAAATTTATTTATGTGGAATTAATTATTAAGAAAATAGAAAAAACATGGATATCCTACTCAATAAAAGAGATATCTTTAATTTTGGAAAACAATCCCTAAAGATGGAGGTGTATATATGTATAAATTTGTTAAAGAGAATCCTTTTATGTACTTTTCAATGAATAAAAATGAGAGGATATTTATTGAATCTATTTCTTATTTAGTAATATTATTGAAAATAATATGAAAGTCATCACATTTAATATTTATAATTTTAAACTAGTTTTTGTTGAGGATGGTTCTTAAAAGTCGGAATATAATTTTTAATGAGTAAAATGATTTTAAATGATTAATGATAATGAGAATATTTTATGAACAAATATTCATTACTTTATTTTAAAGTAAGGAAAAATTTTGAGACATAATATAATGAATTGTATTTAACCATGAATGATAATTTCCTATTGTTGTTCTAGTTATGAAAATTTCAGAAAGCAGTGAATGTATTTTTAAACTAGGATTTTCACTTAAATTTACAATATTACTTATTTAAAACATTTTAATATTCTATTCAAGAAGAAGGTGGATGGCGAACAGTTTTTAGAGAGAGTAGGGATATGTAAGATAAAACAAAATTCATCAGATGAAAAAACATAGATTAGTAATTGAAAAAGAAGTGTATAAATAAATATTTATATCAT